ACTATATATATTTTAATACTGTGTTCTTTGATTTTCCCAAAAGTTAACTCTGGTAGAAAAGAAAGGAAGGGTTCTTCTGTGTGCTTCTCAAATTCCGAGTTGAACAGCAGACACTGGGGCAGCAGGATGGTGTGTGTCACTGTCTCACTGGGGTGCTCTGTGCCCCACACACCCCCAAAGCTGTGTTGCCTCAGGGACCCCACCCCTGAGGCCCCAGGAAGGCCACCTCTCTGGGCAGCAGCTCTGAATTTAAGAAAAATATGTCTTCTGTGCAAAGATTTGTCCTGAAGTCCTCAGAATCTTTTAGTTTCTTTTGTTGCTTTGTGATGTCTTGTGCCATTCAAATTGTTAATCTTTTTTTTTTTTTTTTTTTTTTTTAACATGGCCAGCTCAGCTGTGGTGGAGCTGGCACAGCACGTGGTGCTGGGGATCGAACCCAGTCCCTACTTCTTGGCTAAGCTTGCCTAAGCAGGCGCTTTAGACCACTAAGCTATCTCGCCGGCCCCTGCCTCTCATGTTTTAGGACCCCACAAAAGTGCAGCCAAATTCCCCAGGCATTTCTGCCTGGCCCCATGAAAGAAAAAGGAATCCTCACCCTAAAAAAGCATTATCATTTATACTTTCCTCTCAAGTGTATGCTACAGGTCTGGGACAAAAAGCAAACTTCAAAGAGGTCTGAAGTGTGGTGCCAGCTCAGGCTCCTCTTCGGGAATGGCCAGAGCGTCAGGCCGGCTGCTGCAGGGCACAGCGTAGGATTCCGGGACCTGGGGCTCAGTGACTCCTGCGCAGGGCGTAATTTAGGAAGCAGGGTGGACCCCTGCTGTCCTCTTATCCAGGCGTTTCCCAAAGAGCCGCTCAGCGCCGTACTGACCTCAGTCAGAGCTCTATGTAAATATGTTGCATTTGGCTACACATGTGAACATACATGTATGAGCATGTTCTGTATACTGAGCCTCCCACGAATGTTCCCTCTGCAAGAGTTCTGCAGGAAGACGGGTATGGGACTGAAAGTCAACCATCTAACGATGCTGCGCAGATGTAAAGCCCAGGCGCAGAGCAGCCACTTCCTCATCAAGCTGCACAGGTCTTTCCTTCATCTGAGGTGTTTTGTCCTTCCTATACAGAGGCAGACGCATGCATGTAAGCATGCAAGCACGCATGCGCGCACACACGCACGCGCACCCAGCACCTTGCACCCAAGCTGCCTCCTTCAGCCTTGCTCACCCATTCAAGAAGGGCACGTTGAGGCTCAGCTCAACCACTGCAGTGTCAAACACGAGCTCTCGCCCGTCTTCCTCCAAGCTCCTGCTCTTGGTGACTCAGAGGTGCTCCTGCGTCTCTTTCCTCCTCCCAGCTGCAGGCAGCTCAGTGCAGGTTCCACGTCGCGTCCATCTCGAGTCCCCTGCTGGCACAGGGCAGGCGTTGGAAGTGGTCTTCGTGGCCCAGCGAATGGCCCCCAGCTGTGGCTCCGACACAGTCCCAAGTGTACCAGCAGGCAGGAGCGGTGGGCCGGAAGCGTGCCCTGCAGCTTTCTCGAGTTGCCTGGGCTCCTCTGACTGAGCTAAATCCACGATTTGGTGTCCTTTGTTTGGAATGCTTCCAGGGAAGAAAAGAACCAAAAGTGAGCAAGAGAGTGAAAGCTGATCCAGCAAAGTAGCTCCGTCTTGGAAGAATGTAAAGCCCACATCCTGCATCCTGGCACATGTCTGGAGGACTTCCTGTCAGGAAATAACCCTCCTTGGAATCTCCTCACAAGAACACCCTAGTTCCTCTTTCTCCCTCAAAGTCTTGATTACTTGTTTAGCGGTTTTCCTAAGAATGAAAGATGTGACAAACCAATTTACATATTTTACCAGCTCTAACATGCACCAGTTATAAAGCTCACCATTAACTTACACTCCATGAAGAAAATGCTCCATTAAACCATGAGGAGATATCAGAGATTTTTAAAAATACGAAAATAAGAGCCTTAAATTGAGGAACTATATCAACATCATAGGTTGGTGACACCAGGCTATATGGGTCATGGTGTCCTCATCTGTTACAGGCATAGGTTGGATGAAATGAGACCCTGCAGGTCAAGCCACGCTTGAGTTCAATAACGCTGGGAAGTAATGTGCTTCCCTGGGAGGTAGTTGTGTGATGACCACCGGAACGGGAGTCCTGCACAGGCCTCTTCTATGTGTTGCCTTTCAGAATTTGAGTCAGTGAGGTGATGTCATAAGCCTGTAATCCCAGCGCTGTAGGAGGCTGAGGCAGGAAGTAGCTCATTGCAAAGGCCCTAGGTTCAATTTTGTTTTGAATTTTTTAAAAAGTCTCTTATTTACTTGTTTCTTTGGTACATGCTCACACTATGCAGCTCAGACTCAGTGATCCTCCTGTCTCAGCCTCCCCAGCGCTGGGATTACAGGCATCCATCACCATGTCCGGTATCAAGCTGGTCCAGCACAGCCGGGGTTCTGCGGCCAACACAGCATGCAGTAATGGGGATCGAACCCAGATCCTTGAGCTTGCCAGGCAGGCACTTAGACCACAGAGCTAGCTCCCCAACTCCTTAAGTTCAGTTCTTAATATGGAAAGAAAAAAGAATTGAGGGTCCTCACATGGCAGCGAAGCTACCAGTGTTCCTTTGACTAGTATGGCCAAAATGGTTTGGGAACCACTACTTTTGGGATCTTTTAGTGCCTGACAGTCAGTCGTGACAAACGTTACTTACTGTTCAGCGATATGCCCTGGTATGGATAGGTCAGCAATAAAACTCGAGCAGTTAGCTGGGCTTGAAGCTCAGTGACAGCACTTGCCTCAACTTGGGTTCAGTCTCTCACAGTACAAAAATAAAAATGTCAGCAAGGCAATTGTGTCTTAGACAGAAATTATGTTTTTGGGTTTTATTTTCTTTTGTACATTTTTGCTCTTGAATGATTTTAAATATTACAGCTGTTACATTTCACAATCAATAGGCCAGGGTGGTGGTACATGCCTGTAATCCCGCACTCAGGAGGCCAAGGCAAGAGGATTATAAGAGTTTAAAGACAAAAAAAAAAAGAGTTTAAGGACAGCTTGAGCTATAATAAATTATATAGAGTTCAAGGCTAGCAAGACCCTGTCTCAAAAAACAGTAACATTCTAACTGAGGAAATCCAATAAGGCATTTATCTTCCTGGCATCCGGCTGCCATTGTCCTTTACAAGTTGGAGTGCGGGCTGCAACGTGGACGAAAAGCTCTGCGTGGATGCTCAGGGCCTCCTGTTCTGCCTTCCCATCCAGGTGACATCGCGCCGGTACAAGGCACTGCATTTGACCTGCGAAGGCCAGTGGTGCTGGGCACACACCTACAGGAGTTTCACATTAATGGTTTCGACCACAATTTCTGTCTGAAGAGGTCTAAAGAAAAGCATTTTTGTGCAAGGTAAGGTCCTTTTCACTTACCACTGTTCAGGAGAAAGGAACATGAATGTGTGTGTGAGGTTTTGCTCCTGGCCGTATTACTAGATTTGTTGTGCGATAAGGGGCCAAATACCACAGCCTTTGTGTCTGCAGAAGTGGACCCCGCCTTTCCCCACCAACGCAGCATCCCTGCACCCAGCAGCCCTCCCCTGCCCCATCCTCCCCACGCTGCCACCTGTGCCTACCAAGCTCCCAGAGCCCTTTGCCTTTCCTAGGTCAGGAGTTAGCCCTGCCCACTCCCAGCAAGGCACAGGCAGTGCTGCTTGCAGCTGTCCCCACCCCAGGGCCAGTTTGGTCTGCATGCCTATCCTTGTGCTGAATGCCCAGCTCCTTGCTGTGCTGCTCATCTTTGGGAATCTCTCCCTGTGCCTCAGGCCCTGCTGGGTAGTGAGTCATCAGTCCTTGTTTAGGAATCTGAAGATATTAATGAAAAGAGAGAAAGAGTCCAAACTATCAAACTATCACAGAGACAGAAAGGACTTCACAAGCATCTGCCTCTCCAGAGCCCAGGCACCACACCCTGAGTATCCTCCCTGTCCAACCTCCTCCCTCCCTTGCTCCTCTTCCGCATCCTCCTTGCAGCAGGAAGTCCCTCCTGCTTCATGGATTCAGATCCTGGCCGTCTGCTTCCCAAACATCTTGTGCTTGCTGAGCCACTTTGCTGACAACATACTGTGGGCTGGAGGATGTTTTAACTTCTGCATGTATGTGTTTTGCCTCCTGGTGAGACTGTAAGACCCCACCTCCCACTCTGTGTGTGTGAGTGAGTGACTGGGGAGTGAACACAGCCTTGCACTGAGATACTTGCTGAGTTTCTCAGGTTGGCCTTGAACTTGCCATCCTGTCACCTCAGCCTCTGATGTAACTGGGATAACAGGCATGCACCACCATATTGGCTAGATTTTTAGCAATCTATATCCCTTCCGTAGCAAGTACAGATCCAAGTAGGAGCTCACCTCTGTAAAGGTCTAGTTTATTTAAAAAAGAAAGAAAGAAAGAAAGAAAGAAAGAAAGAAAGAAAGAAAGAAAGAAAGAAAGAAAGAAAGAGCGAGCCAGGTATGGTGGTGCAGGCCTGTAGGCCATGCACCCAGGAGGCTGAAGCAGGAGGGTTACCAGGAGTTCAAGATAGTGTGGCCTACACAGTCAGTTTAAGGCCAGCCTGAACTACATTTTGAGACCCTGTCTCTAAAACTTAAATAAATAAATGAAAAAGAGAATAAAAGAAAACACAGTGAATCACTGGAAACCCACATAGAACTGTTAGGAAGATCTAAGCAGCCTGCTCAAGCCCCTGGGAGGGGCACAGTTTAATTCAGACAAAATCTTGTCTTTCATAATATGTGACTAGTTCTTTCACCAGGCCAAGCAGAGAATTCCAATTCTGTGAAAAAGAACTTCGCCCCATGCACTGAGCGTGAAGTTCAGGGGTAGAACCTTTGTCCAGCACACATGGAGCCCTAGGTTCCCTCCCCAGCACTGCAGAGAGTAAGGAGCACGGTGGTGCATCTGTGGCTACAGCACTCTGGGAGGCTGAGCCAGGAGAATCACAAGTTTGAGCCCAGCCTAAACAATGTAGTAATTAAGCAAAACCATTTTTTTAAAATTTTTTTCATAATTTTATTGATAAACAAATAGCAATGAGACAGTTTCAAATCAAATCGCTAGGACAGTTTCGATAATTAGCACACTGCATACATTCTTCTTAGTGGTTAATTGCTGTACAAGATGCAGACTTGATATCCTATTTACAAACACCATTAGAACAAATCCCTCTATTCATTAAGAGAATGTAACTAATTTTTTTTTTTTGCGAATTGTATATGCTTATATCTAGTAATCTGAACAACTACTTTGAAGATAATGACACGCACTATAATAAGCATTGTTGAATTCCTATCATTTCATTTAGTGAAAATTATTTATTGTTTCTGCTTTTTTTTTTACAAGCAAAACCATTTTAAAAATAAGAAAAATTCTGGGGCTGTAGCTCAGTGTGAAGGCCCTAGGTTCAATCCCCAGTACTGCAAAATAAACAATAATTTAGAATCTCAGTCCCTCCTGGACCCCAAAACTGCCTCGCTCCTCTTCTTGCCCGTCTCCCCCGTGCCTCGTCCTTGCTCTGGGACCAGGTCTGATTCCCATCCCAAGCTTCTGCCTCTTGCCGCCCGGACCCACCGGTGGGCTTGTCTTCCCAGGGTGTACCATGCTGGCAGCGGGCGGACCCTGGAAGTGTACACCACCCAGCCCGGTGTCCAGTTTTACACGGGCAACTTCCTGGATGGCACCCTGAAGGGCAAGAGTGGAGCCGTCTATCCCAGGCACTCCGGCTTCTGCCTCGAGACCCAGAACTGGCCTGACGCAGTCAATCGGGTAAGCTGTGGGCTGGCTTGTCAAGAGACCACAGTCCCACTATCTGGCACAAGGGCCACAACACTCAAGTGAGACTTGGGGACTCAGAAGTCCATTTTTGTCCTCCAAGCCATGCAGAATACACACATCCTGTCACCAGGTTCCTGACGTGGCATTTCCTGGTCCTTAGAAAACTCGATTTTGTACCTTCCAAACCTTTGTTTGGTGTAATGTTTCTCCACATTAATCCCCAGTCATTTCGTGCAGCCCCCCTTTAAGCAGAGCCCTTCCGTTTTGTTTGTGCCCCCATGACTTTCTCTTTCAGCTGTCCCTTACAGCGGTGCTCCTCAGAGTGCCCGCCCCGATGACACTCCCACCTTGCCCTAGAACACAAATGAACCTGTTGCTTCCTCCAGCCCGAAAGTCTTGCTTTGTCCAAGTGTGCTTGCTGATAAGGGCCTTCCTCCCAGCCCAAGCTCTTCATCCCATTGCAAAACCATGATCCAGTGTCCCGTGCTGGCCCCGGCCCCGGCGCACAGGTCTAGAGACCCGTCCAGAAGCACGCCCTGAGCGGTCGGCGGTGGGACCGGCCGGCAAGGTGTAACCTGGTGCTTTCCCCTCGGCAGCCCCACTTCCCTCCTGCGGTGCTGCGGCCTGGCGAGGAGTACAACCACACCACCTGGTTCAAGTTTTCTGTGGCTTGAAGAAGGGTGAAGATCGCTGCCCGGGCCAGGGCCCTGGGCTGCCGGTCTCCTGTCCAGAGACAAGGTGAAGACCAAAGCTTGACAAGTAATTCTGTGCATCAAATCTTACGAATGGTAGCATCAGGATAAGTCGAAATATTGATCTCTTCTTTGAGTGACCAGCAGTAGGCTGTGTCATAATAATAGCCTGAATATTGATTAGTTCTTCAAGTGACCAGTAGGCTGTGTCCAAAGACAAGCTCTATTTTCTGTGCAGCTCAGAGGGCGAGTGAACTCAGCCACCAGTGTGCCCACCCAAGCCCAACAGTGGTTCCTTGGGACCCTCTTGCTGTTAGGCGCCATCTCCACTGCCTTGTTCTTGTCTACTTTTTTCCCTTCCTTTCTTTGCTAACAGATGACAACCAGGGCTTCAGGTCATGCCAGTTCAGGTCCTCTTCTTTGCTTCTACCTTTGATTGTTGACACATTGCCAGGGTCATGGAAGGGTATGGAGAGATCTGGCTGCTGGGCTATGTTAGGGAGCCAGTCAGTCTCACATTCCCTTTTGTAATCCGCACTAGGCTGAAATGTCTCTTAGCTTCCTTGCCTTTGCTATTCACTGAGAAAGCCCAGGCCAGCCAAGACCTGCAAGAAGGGGCAGGAGCCGAGCATGAGGAGAGCAGAGGCTGAGTTTCAGAGAGGAGGCTGGAGGCGCCTCTTATGCTAGACAGTCCACTCAGCAGTGATAGGCTTGGGCCGGTGACTTTCACAGAAATGTATTTTATATACTATCTACTACAAACACTTGAAATAAAATCAAAACTACACCTTCAGAAGACTGCAGTTCTCTTGTCATGAAGCGTCAACACGGGTTTTGGGAAGTGGATCAAGTGTGTGGTGTGTTCCAGATTCTGGGCTCTCTGACAGAAGCCCCAACATTTTCCCGGAGGAAGGCCACCAACTGGTGACCTACTGGGCTTACCATACCTCCACTTTCTTTGAAACCAACAGCAAACAAAAGGCACTTTCTAAATTCATCTCAGCATGGATTTCCCGAGCACTTACACAGTATGGTCCTTCACTCGGCCTTCAGGGGCCTCACAATGTAATGAGAAGTATTCTGTCTTCCCAGGAATAGCACTGAGGAAGGTGACACTAATAACAGTCAGATCCAGAACTGGCAGCCCCGAGCACTAACTGGTTCTGTCGGCCTTACTTGGCCCTTTGGTTTCTTACCTGTGAGATGAAAGGAGCTGCAGTTGCTGAGAACATGAATACACCCTGCTGGACGGGGCCCAAAGTGAGGCCCTTATTCAAGTTCTTGTTCCTCAAGCCCACACCGTCCCCTTATGGTTAGGATGAAGCACCTGAGAAGATGACAATACTTGTTTGAGCTGGCTGGAGCATTCAGCAATGAATGCTGGGAGCCTGGAGCTTCAACCCTGTCTCTCCTCCTTGCTGGGTATGAGAAGACCTGTAGGCCTAACCAGATCATTGTTTTTTCATCTTTATTTGGTACAGGGTCTCACTATGCAGCTCGGACTCACAGCGATCTTCCTGCCTCAGCCTCCCCAGCACTGGGATTCCAGGTGTGCACCACCACACCCAGCTTTGGGTCTGGCACAGCACACCTGGGATCCCGGGGCTGGCATGGCATGTGGTACCAGGGATCAAGCCCGGGTCCTTGCACTTGCCAGGCAGGCGCTTAGACCGCTGAGCTATCTCCTCAGCTCTGGATCACTGTTTATAGCGTTCCCAACAATTTGTACTTCTGTCACACTTTCTTCTAGGAGCCCCTGGACAATTAAATTCTTATGGTTACCATCTCCTCCATTAGGAAAATTGTTTCTCCACGCTTCATTGTAGTAATTGTGAGAGCCTAGAGAGGTTTTGTCTGACCTATACAACCTGCAACAGATGAAGTCCTTGTGAAGAAGAGGTCCCAGGCTGGAGAAAGTCACACTGCTAGAAAAGTGGCAGATCTGGAGCACATGTCGGTAGCCTTTGATAAGAAGCCCAGTGTATGTCCTATTGGCACCATACTAAATAATGTGAGGATTTATATATCCAGTGCTGAGAAACGAAGCGTATTTACTCAGTCACCTAATGTGAAGATTTATATATCCAGTGCTGATAAAGCATTTTTATTCAATCGCCATTGGTAGATACAATACTTTTCTGGAGGGAAATTAGGAAGAATGTAAATATGACAAACTTGCAAAACTCATCACCTAATAATTCCTCACCGAGATTGTATAGAAATGCTAGCAAAAATGTATGAAGACGGGGTGAGGGAGATGGCTCAGTGGAATAAGCGCTTCCCTGGCAAACGGAAGGGCCTGAGTTCAATCCCCGGTTCCAAAAAAAAAAAAAAAAAAAATGTATGAAGACAAACATTCAGACAAATGTGTTCACTGAAACCTCACTGATAATAGTGAAAAACTTTTTAAGCTACCTAATGCCATTGTGATGGAAACAGATTCATGAGAATTCACACAATGGGGTATACTATGTGATCATTAAAAAGGATTAGGTAAAGTGGGGCAGGGTGCCTCACCTGTAATCCTAGCAGTTTAAGGTCCAGCCAGGCCTGGGCAACATGGTAAGACCTCAGCTCAAAATAGAGAGTGCCAGAGATGCGGCTCAGTGGGCCCTGGTTCAATGCCTTACACTGCAGGTGCTAGGGGGCATCAACTAATACATAGTCCTTTTTTTTTTTGTATGGGGAATCAAACTCAGGACCTTGTGCTTGCCAGGTAGACATGGTTCCACTGAGCTACATCCCCGGCCCACTGTTCTTTTGATAAAAACTTTTTTTTTTTTTAAACAGGGTCTTGTTGTATATAGTTCAGTCTGACCTTGACTTCACTATGTAGTCCACACTGGCCTCAAATTCATGGCGATTCTCCTGGGTCAGCCTCCTGCATGCTTGGATTACAGGCATGTGCCACCATGCCAGACCTGTCCTGTTTTTGTAACACAAAACAAAAACTTATGTATGTATCCGTAAAGTCTGGGATACTATCAACAAGTGACCCAGGGGACCAGGGAGATGGCTCAGTGGAATAAGTACTTCCCTGGCAAGTGCAAGGGCCTGAGTTCAATCCCCGGTTCTGAAAAAAAAAAAAAGTGACCTCTGAGAAGAAGCTGAGGGAAGGAAGAACCTCCGAGTTTTACTTTATTGGTGCAATATGAATTGTCAAACATGCTCCTTTTGCAATTTGAAAAAATTTAAGTCCCTAAAATGGGGACGGAGGGGAGTGAGCATCCTGATTTCCATCATCGTGTCCAGAAGCACCGCGGAGCCGCTGTGCACACTGCAGCCGCTGGGCGGCGCACATGCTCATCCTCTGCTCACCAGGAAGGGCCGATCTCTTCTCTCCGACAGGCGCCAGCTGCAGTTCTCTGCACTCTAGAATTAGCCAGGTGTGCGTTAACCAAGAGATCTCAAGGGTCGTCGCAGTTATTTCTGTTGCTGAGATAAAATACCAAACACCCACAAGTGAAGGGAGGAAAGGTTTACTTAGCTCATGCTTTGGAGAGATTTCTGTCCATACCAGTTGGCTCCAGGGCATTGGGGCAGGGAAGGCAGGCAGGCAGGCAGGCAGGCAGGCAGTCATGGCAGGCAGAAAAGTACAGAGCATCAAAGGATGACCACAGCTCTCTCTGACCTCTAGGTCTTTCCAAGCTGCTTAAGGCAGGCAGCACGCACACCCGTAGTCCTAGTGCCCTAGAGCCTGGCGTTGCAACATGAATCAATCCCAGCGCCACACACTGTAGACCCAGCTACCTCTGAAAAAGCCCCACATATGACACATGAGGCTTAGGAGAGCCGTCTAGACACAAGCCATTACAGGGTAAACTAGTAAGTTGACTGGAATCTATGTACTAGTTCCATTAAATTAATATATCAATGTAGGGTTATAATATTTTAGGAGCCATAATCGTTTTATGAAACAGGAAAGAAAAAACATTTTCTTACAAGAAAACATAACAAAATTTAATGGTCTCTAACATTGGGAACACATTTATCAGCCAAAATACTTTTTTGCCTCTATCTTCAAAAACAATTGTTTTTAATACTAGGCCAGGTCTCAGTAGTCCAAGTAAGGATAGTCACCTGCAGGGCACTGAAAGACAGAACTAGTATTTCAGTTGTCCATGAAAGAAAGAAAAAAGGCTCAGTTGTTAAACCATAAATCTGATGAAGCAAAAATTTAGAGAATTTTTTTGTATGTGTGGAAGTAGCCAGTCTATCCTTTTTTGTGAAATACAACCAAAAACTCTGAGAAACACCTTCTAAAAGAACAAAAAAAAGACCTTCACATAGTTGAGATGGTAGGGTGACGGCAAGCCAGTGGATCATAGCATTTTCTGTTCTTTATGATGAACTCACTGAAGCCTTCAGCAAGAAATAAAACATGACAAGATAGAATAGTACAATAATAGCACATGCCATAGCGTGCAGGAGTCATTAGGTGACCCAGAATACTCCAATCCTCAGAAGTTCAATGTCCATAAATACTGGCCAGCAAGGCAGGGGCAGGTACCTCAGGAGCATGTGCCTAATGAATAGTTTCCAAACAGCAGGACATGCAAAACTAAAACATTTGTTTCAAAGCATTGTTTTAAAATAAGGGTCTACAGGATCTTAGGGTCTCACTATGTAGCTTGGACTCATTCATAGTCATCACCTGTCTTCAGCCTCCCAAAGAGCTGGGATTACAGAAACATGCCACCAGGCCCAGTCTAAATCACCATCTCAGCACGCTTTGGGGGCAGGGCTGGCACATGCCAGGAACCCCGGGTACACCATGCCGGCCACTGAACCTGAAACTCGGCACAGTGGCACATGCCTGCAATCCCAGTGCTGGGGAAGCTGAGACAGGAGGATTACTTCGAGTTCTGAGCTACATAGCAAGATCCTGTACCAATTAAACAAATAAAGATTTTGTTTTTAATTTTAAAAAAACCTCTTGAACTGTGGTAGGAGCAGTGAGAATCCACGGTCTCTCTGCCTGGGACTGCTCCCCTTCTCACGCCTGCCTACTGCTGCCAGGGCTCTGCAGGGACAAATGGAAGAGAGGCCTGCGAGCTCCTGCGCTAGAGGGAGGCCCACTCCATCTGCAGCAGTAGCCAGCTGAAGTAATGATCTTGGTGCTGTGTCAGCGGGGCGGGCCTGGGGCTCCAGAACTGGAGGTCACAGCCAGACAAGTAACACAGAGGCTGGCGATGTATACGAGCAATCAGAGAGGGTCTGTGCTGCAGACTACTCTTAGCCAAGGCCCAGGCTGCGTGCACATGTGGGAGCAATGAAGTAAGGCTCAGGGAGGCTCGGTGTGTGGCTCAGAGGCAGGGCACATGCCTAACGCGTGCAAGGACCTGATTCAATGCCAGCACCAACAAAAAAACAAGGGGTGGGGGGCCGTGCTCAGCAAAAGCAGAAGTCAGGACAGACCTGAAGTCGACCTAGAACATGGGCAAAGAGTCACCTAGACAGAGATCCTCAGAGCACAGACATGGGACTGCTGGAGGCAGTTGAGCACAACCTCTCTGCAGTGACTGGCAGACCACCACCCTCCTCAGGCACAGGGTGGCACCTGAAGAGTGGATGGGGGTGGCACACAGCCTGGAATCCCAGAACTGCAGAAGGTGAGGCAGGAGGATCACAAATTCCAGTCTTGCCTGGGCAACTTAGTAAGACTTTGTTTCAAAAAATTAAAAAAGGTGGGGGAGGAGGGAAAGATAGCTCAGTGGACTAAAGTGCCTACTTAGGCAAGCACAGGGACCGCAGTTCGATCCCCAGTACCACATGCTGCGC